GGGCCTTAGTTGTGACATGCAGGATCTTCCGTCTTTAGTTGCAGCATGCAAACTCTTTAGTTATGGCATGTGGGATCTAGTTCCCTGACTGTGGATAGAACCAGGGCCCCCTGCTATGAGAGCATGAAATCTTAGCCACTGGCCTACTGAAAGGTTGTTGCTGAGCCATGAAAGACGCTTCTTGGCCTCCGCAAGAGAAGAATTCAGTCCGGGGCCAGTGACGAAGACAAGGCTTGACCGCTCAGAGCTTTTGTATAATAAAGTTTTATTAAACTATAAAAGAGAGAAAGCTTCTGACATAGACGTCAGAAGGGGGTAGAAGGAGTGCCCCCCTGCTGGTCTTTAGCCGGATGTTATATAGCCACTGGCTGTTAATTATAGAAAGGAGAAGTCTCAAAACTCAGAGTGGCACCAGGCCCCTCACCCACAACATTCATTTTGAGATAACATTGGCACTAGGTGAGTTATCCTGGGCCATAAAATTATGGACTTGAATCTTGAGGAAAGGCAGGTTTCCAAGTAAATATATAGTTTCATTAACATAGATTAGGAGAACAATGTATGCGTTAAATATACAGGTTTGAAAGACAGTGTCCAGGGTAAATACATAGCTCATTAACATAGCTTAAGACAAACATTTCCATAAGAAAAGTGCATTGGTTAGCTCAAGGTTTGAGAAAAGTTAAGTTCAGGTAGAACCAGGTGTCATTATGGCAACACAGAATTTTAAGAGAAACCTTTTTAAAATTTGTATAGAGAAGGGGAAAAAAATCTAACACTTGTTTGCTTCCTCCTGCCGCTTAAGAGAGAGAGAAAAAATGTCTGACACTTGCAGCCTATTTCCTCCCCTTGGAGACCCCTGGCCTTCCTGCCTGTTACTCACTCATTACCAGGGAAGTCCCAGGAGGTGACACGTTGTAAGCCTGCAAGCATGGCTCAGTGGGGAACAGCCACTGGCCAGGAGGTTAGGGTTAGGTCCGGAGCTGAGGGAGGTGGGGAAAGAGAAGGGCCTGGCCAGGGGGACTTGCTCTGAATGGACATCAATCCCAAACCCCTTTGGCATGGACCTGCTTCATTTATTTTTTTCTCCAAAATAGTTTTAGGAGAACTTGCCCTTTTCATTCCATTCTCCCTCCTCTGGGCAGTGAAATACTGGGTCTAGTCCCTTACATGCCGGTGTTTCTGAGCTTTTGGAGACTGGAAAGCACAGGCACTTTTGTCTTGCTGTCCCTGTGCTTTCAAACGGGAACCAGGTTGGGGGGATGCTGGCAGCCATTCACACCTGAGTCCCCCAGGCAGACGGAGCACAGGCCTCCTTTGTCTTGGCCCTCATGAGGCTTTCCACCTCTATGTCCACTCAGGGGGTGTTGCTGGCCTTTGGGGTTCACAGAAGACCTGATCCATGGGCTGTCAGGTCAAGATGCACTTTCCACCTGTGTCTCCTGCTGCTCACACGCTGCCCCAAGGCAGGGGCTGGACACCCTCCTGGCCGTTGCTGTTGTTCAGCCTTGCTTGTTGTTCAGTCGCATCTGACCCTTGGCGACCCCATGGACTGCAGCATTGCAGGCTCCTGTGTCCTGGCAGACGTGACTATTGACCAGGGCCTCTGTGCCAAAGGAGGGCGTGTTTGTTTCTCTGGGGCCCGTGACCTTGTGCTGGAGGCTTTGCTGAAGCAGCCTGGTGCTGTCCAGCATCTCCTCACTACTGAGACCTCAGCCTCAAAGTCATGAGCATCCGTTGGATGGCTCTGACCCTTGCTTCACCACTTTCTGAAACTTCCCAGAGGAAACACATATTTACCAAGCACTTCCTCTGCCCAAGGGGTGTGGGTTAGACTCATAAGCAGACAACATCAAGTCAACTTTGTGGAACTTGTCTTGTGGGAGAGAGAGACATGGAAAAAACTGATGCAAGTGATATGGATCAGAGCTAAGAAAGGAGACCATCCGGGGTGTGGCAATGAAGAACAGAAGAGGAACCTAATCTTCAGGGGATGCTGAGGTCAGGAAAGGTCTCATGGACGAAGGGAGATTCTCCTGAGTATCTGAGAATATTGCTTAGGGGCGAAGTGGGGCTAGCGGCCGGGGTGGAGGGGGGGGTGGTGTGTTGGGGAAACCTCTTCCTCTGAGCTGACTTGTGACAGATCCCAGTGGACTTCCTTGGGCTGCCTGTGTCTTTGGCACTGTGGCCATCTTTTTTTTTTTTTTTTAATTAATTTTTTGACATTATATTTGGCTGCACCAGGTCTTAGTTGCAACACACAGGATCTTGGATCTTCACCGTGGCATGCAGGATTCTTTTTTAGTGGAGGCATTTGAACTCTTAGTTGCGGTATGTGAGATCCCTGACCAGGAATTGAACCTGGGCCCCCTGCATTGGACTCAATGGACATGAGTTTGAGCAAACTTCAGGAGATGGTAAAGGACAGGGAAGCCTGGCATGCTGCAGTCCATAGGGTTGCAAAGAGTCAGACATGACTGAATGACCAAACAACCCCTGCATTAAAGCGGAGAGTCAGCCACCGGACAATCGGTGGACGTCACCCTCTCTTTTTGAATTTTCTTGTTTTCTTTCAGACTATGTTTTTGTCCCTTTGGCTGTCTTATCTAGCTCCTTAGATACAATTTCAGCCTTCCCAGGGCGTGGCCTTGCTCTCCAAGGCGGTAGACAGTGTTGGTAAGGAGTCAGGCACAGAGGAGGCCAGTCTGGCTTGCCCTCCTTTATCCCTTACTGGTCATGGAACTAGGCAAGCTCGGACTAGCCGCTCCAGCCTTGGTGCCGTGTCTATGGACGAGGTTCTTGTTACCAAGGCTGTCTGAGCTCACATCTGCAGAGCATTTAGTGCAGGGCCTGTGTGAGTCAAGGTTACAAAATCCTTTCCTCTTCCCATTCAGCACCAGAAACAGACTTGGTTCAGTTAGCTTTCTATTTTTCCATGGAAACATGATGAATGTGGACTGTCAACGTATTACGTGCCACAGTTTATTGTAAAACTAAGCCCTGCTTGATAAATAGCATCTGATGGGAGTCCTCTGTATAACCAACCCCCCACCCCCACCCCCCGGTGAACTAGCCATGGCTTTGGGCTTCCTGAGTGTGGTGTCCCCTTGCATGGCTCTGTCCATAGGGTTGTCACATGAGTTGCTGGCCCTTGTGGGGACAGAGCCAGGATGGTACAACAGCTGGCACCTGAATTGACACGTAGAGGTGACTTCACCTGTCGGGTGAAAGGATGAAACCCTTCCAGCTCCAGCATCCTGTCAATTCATTCATTTAAAAATATCTATTGAGGGGACTTCCCTGGTGGTCCAGTGGTTAAGAATCCACCTGCCAATGCAGGGGACATGAGTTCAATCCCTGGTCTGGGAAGATTCCACATGCCACAGGGCAACTAAGCACCACAGCTACTGAGCCTGTGCTCTGGAGCCTGCAAGCTGCAACTACTGAAGCTCGCATGCCCTAGAGCCTGCGCTCCACAGCAAGAGAAGCCACCACAATGAGAAGTCCAAGCACCACAACTAGAGTGTAGCCCCCACTCACCACAACTAGAAAAAGCCTATGCCCAGCAATGAAGACCCAGCACAGCCAAAAATAAATAAATGAATAAAATTAAAATAATAATTATTAAGGTATCTACTGAGTCTCCTATGTGGTAGGTGCTGGAAATACACTGTTGAACAAAACAGATCCATTCTGTGCCCTGAGGCACTTAGAGGCCAGTTGGGGGATGCTGTCAATCAAAACATCACATGCCCTGATCAAATTGTACATCATGCTTTGAGAGTGTAGTGGGAAGATTTAACTTAGGGGGAGAGTTCAGGGAAGGCTTCCAGGAAGAGGTCATATGGAGCTGGCATCTGATGAGTGAATAGGCACCAACCTGACAAAGGAGGTGGGGGGTGTGATGCAGAGATTCCAGAAGGAAAGGACAGAACAGGCAAAGACTCGGCTGTTGGGGGTGGGAAAGGGACAAAGTAGAGAGAATGAGGGCAAGTGAAGCTATGTTATGCAGAGTCTGATTATTTAATGACCTGGTGCATGGCCCCAGGTGTGATGACTCAGTGAGAGCTGAAGCCCAAACAGTCACACTGGTGTCATTATTTTTGCTTCTACATCTTCAGAGCAGCGGGACGCAGGTTAATGCAAGGTGGGAATTTAGCTGTCTGGTGGGAGGAAGGGTTGGTTTGATTGGATTTACAAACTGAACATCTGATTCTGACTGCAGGATGCTGAAATCCAATCTGAAGGGAGTGAAATTTGAAGAAACTTGGAGTGGTGTGGTTTTGGTAGAAAAGGAAGCCCAAGGTGTAGGTGGGCTTAGGAGAGCATCTGATGGGGACCAGCAGCAGGGAGGAACATCGGGCCTTTTAAAAACATCTGTATAATTATTCATTTGTAGCTTTGGCTGTGCTCCATCTTCGTGGCTGCAAGGACTCTTTCCTAGTTGCAGAGTGGGGGCTGCTCCTCCTTGCGGTGCATGGGTTTCTCTTTGTGGTGGCTTCTCTTGCTTCAGAGCACAGGCTCTAGGTACACAGGCTTCACAAGTTTCAGTGCACAGGCGTGGTTGCTCCACGGCAGGTGGGATCTTCTCAGACCAGGGATGGAATCTGTGTCCCCTGCATTGGCAGGTGGATTCTTATCCACTGGACCACCAGGGAAATCCACTGGGCCTTTAATTTCAGGGGTCTTGGCTGCTCAGCTTGGTTTCCCACCTCCAGAGCCCCGATTCCTCCCATTTTTGGCTTCCATGACCCCAAATGTGTTGCCAAATGACAGATGGAGGGAGGGTGGGTGTGGAGTTGTAACAGGTCCTAGAGGTTCCTAAGCATGTCCCAGCCATGAGCAGAAAAGCTTCAGGGCCTTCAGAAAAACAACCCAAGCCCCACATAAGCATGTTCTGTAGCTCAGAGGATGCTCTGGCACTGAAGACAACGTTTTCCATCAAACAGAATGAATGAAAATCACATTTCTCACTTTTTCCCTCTTTCTCTTCCCCCCAGGCTAATATTTGGCACTCTTTACCCTGCATATTATTCCTACAAGGCTGTGAAGTCAAAGGACATTAAAGAATATGTAAGTAGCACAATTTTTGAGTGGGTGGGGTGGGTGATGATGGGGTTAAGTGGGGGAGGCTGAGCGTGAAGTGGAGGCAGGGCATCTGCCCTCTTTGGTGGATACTGGGAGCAGGGTGGTACAGTGACCTGCCAGATATCACCCAGGAGTCCTCTCCTTTAGCAAGGTTGAAGGAGATTCCATACCCTTTTAAGAAGAGTCATGAGGTAGAGGCCATAGGAAAAGAGATGATTGCATATTCATACAATTTTTTCATTGACTGGTGGTCATGACTGTGACATAATGAAGCATTATTTTAAACAAATGAACTACTATGCTGAGTAACAGCAGTGTTACAAGTAGAGTGTGGAAGTGATGAGAGCAGGGAGGCCTGGCAAGAGGAAATGTTAGCTAGAGTTGGAGGCTGCCAGAGGCCACAGGCCATGGGCTTGGAAGTATGACTTCATCTCACTGAGTGTCAGTTTCCTTGTCTGGAGCGAAAGGCAATGTTACTGGGAAACAATCTTGCACTGGGGGCAGGGACTCAGATCCTAATGTCCAACAGACCCAGTTCAGCAACTCTGAACCCCACTCCAGTTCTGTGGTTTGAGCACTCCACGATCTAAGCACTGTTGCTTTATAAACTTTTAGAGAACAGGAGCTACCATCCTCCTATAGCTGTACCATCCTCCACATATACCTCCTATACTATCTTCCGCAACACCTGGCCAAGGGCTGGAAACACAGGTAGGGGATCGGGAAGACTTACTGGCAGGAGGATTGTGTCACTGTTGGGTGATCTGGGTGCCCCAGTCACAGCCCTAAGTGTTCTGGGCACCTCCAGGCAGGAGAATCATCAGACTACCACTGATCGACAAAGGCCTGCGGGGAGTGAGGGGTGGGGGGTGTCCCTCCCCAGAGGGGACAAGAATCCTCAGTCAGAGTACAAAGGATAGAGATTTTTGTCATCAAAAGACAAGTTAAGTCCTGGCTCCGATGTTTGATTGACAAAATACTAGATAAGAACTTTAACTTCCAAGAGCCTTAATTTCCTCATCTGAGCAGTGGGTTGATATCAACAGCCCAGCCCTTAGCGTTGGGAGTGAAAAAGGATCTTTGCTCTCCTTTTACTCAGAAGAGGTCACTTGGCAAGTTAGGCACAGCTAAAGAAATCACTCAGAGCAGTAACCTGCCCTGAAGTTATTTTCTTGGCTTTCCCATGATGTCTTTAGGATGGATCCAGCCACCTCTAGATCAACTCAGCCAGACCTACCTCCACCCCCTCAGAGTTTCCCAGAACAGCTTGCCTGGCTTGCATTTGCTACCATGCAGGGGATCCAAATGGGGCATGTCCGCTCTGGAGGCTGGGTCCCGGATAAGCATATGTGAAGGAATCTCAGAGTGTGAACTATAAATAGCAGTGAAGTTGCAAGCACAAAACTTCATGATTCCTAGTTGACTTGGCCTGGGGGACAGCACTGGGCAGCCTCCTCCACATCTCCCTCCCTTTCTCCAACCCCTTCCAGCCGGGGACGTGGGGACACTGTGCCCAGGAAGGAGGTAAAACTGGGGTCACCACGGTTCAAGGTCTCCTTGATCCTCCGCTTTGCAGGGGTACAAAACTCAATTCTGTCCACTTATCCGGGAGACAGTGACCCCCGGGGAATTGTTTTGCCCTGATTAAACTCAGGGGAGCCTGGTGTAGGACTAGAATGGCAGTTCATTAATTTAAACTGAAAAATATAACTGACAGGCAGAGCAGCTGTTTATGTTGGCCATTCTGTTCTCAGGAGGGAAAGCTTGAGAGTTAAGATTAGCCAGTTTCTCAGTAAAAATGGAACTGCAAGGAAACAGCCCAGTGGTATTAAGGGAGACTCCTTCCTTTTTCTGGGATCTCTCACGTGCCTTCAACTCACACACTTGCGTGCACACTTACACATTCTCTCACACTCAGACTCACACTCACTTCTTTCCTTCCTTTTGACCAACAGACCCCTTTGTCCGAGAGAGAGACCTGAAAACTTCCTTTGACTCCTGCCTCTCCTCACCACCCATCCCTACCCACACACCCGGCTGGTAACCATGACCCTCCATCTCTATCGTCTCAATAGTCTTTCAAACCAGGTCTCTCCTTTTGTGCTGCCCTCTCTCTTCAGTGAGATCTTCCCTGGTGTCTCAGACAGTAAAGAAACCACCTGCAGTGCAGGAGACCCAGGTTCAATCCCTGGATGGGGAAGATCCACTGGAGAAGGGAGTGGCCTCCCACTCTAGTACTCTTGCCTGGAGAATTCCAAGGAGAGAGGAGTGTGGCGGGCCACAGTCCCTGGGGCCTCAAAGACTCGTCAAACATGACTGAGAGACTAATACTTTCTCTTCAATGAGGCTCTCATCGTTGTTCACCTGAATATCCCAGTGGCTTCCTATATCCTTTTTTTTTTTTTTTTTGGCACCTGTAACAAATTACCATGAGCTTTGTGGCTTGAAAGAACACAAATGCAGGCATCCCCTGGTGGTCCAGTGGTTAGGACTCCATGCTTCCATTGCAAGGGCAGAAATTTGATCCCTGGTCAGGGAACAAAGGTACCACAAGCCCTATGTACAGCTGCCCCTGCACCCCTGCCAAAAAAAGGCTAAAAGCAACCAAACCAAAAACGCAAAAATGTACTATCTCACAGTTATAGAAGTCAAGTCAGATGGGTGTCCTGGTTGAAATCAAGCCTCCGTTTGGAGGCTATAGGGGAGAGCCCACTTCCTCGCCTTTTCCAGTTCCTGGAGGCCACCTGCATGTCTTGGCTTAAGCCTCTTCCTGCACCTTCAGGGTCACCAGTGTTGCGTATCTGACACACAACACACACAGTGTTGTGTATTCTTCTGTAATCCTGTCTCCCTCTGGCTGGGAAGGGTTCTCTACTTGCAAGGATTCCTGTGATTACATTGGGCCTGCCTGGTTAATCCAGGATAATCTTTCCATCTGAAAGCCCTTAACTTAATAACTGCAAAGTCCCTTTCATCATATAATGTGACATATGCACAGGTTCTGGGGATGCGCAAGAGGACATCTGGGGGTGGAGGCTGTTGTTCTGCCCCCCCGGATCCCTCCCTGCTTCCTCCGCCTCTTGTCTTCTCAGTCTCTGTTGTCTACATCACATCTACAAGCCCTCGAGAAATGGAAATTTATTCATCTCACTCCCCCTGGGTCCTTTAATGGCTGCTTATCCCCTGCAGGATCAAGTCTGAACTCCATTAGATAGTGTTGAACCTTGTTGATTTTGCGCCTTCCTACTCTCTAGCCACTTCTCTACAAGCATTCAGCACTCCCGAGCTCAGCACCCAAGGAATGGTCTGTGGACTGGCATTATCCCACATCATCTGGGAGCTTGTTAGAACTTGGAATCTCAAGCCCTACCTAAACCTCTGAAATAAAAATTGGCATTTAAAAAAGTTATCATTTAAATTTATTTTTATTGTATTTATTTACTTTCAATTTTTTAATATTTATTGGCATATAGTTGATTTACACTGTTAGTTTCAGGTGTACAGGTAACTCTACTCAAAAATCGGCATTTTTGACAAGATCGTTAATTTGAGAGACACTGCTCTTGACAGTCATAGCTTTTTATGTCTTTCCAAACTTACTACACTAGTCAAGGTTTGATGGGCAAATGCTTAAACAGAAAGGAATTTATAGGGCTTCCTGGTGGCTCAGACGGTAAAGAATCTGCATGCAGTGCAGGAGATCTGGGTTTGATCCCCGGGTTGGGAGGATCCCTGGAAGAGGAAATGGCAACCCACTCCAGTACTCTCACCTAGAGAATTACACAGATAGAGAGGCCTGGCAAGCTATAGTCCACTGGGTCAAAAAGAGACACGACTGAACGACTAACACTTTCATAGAATTAACTAGAAGGCTAGGGAAAGATACTCAGAAATTGGGGAAGGTCCGAGAAGGCTGGATGATGGCCAAGCTTGTGCTACAGGAAGGGTCTGGTTAGGAATCTGCTGCCCAGGTCACCACTACCAAATTGGCTGCCAGCTGCCCATGCCTTTGGAACATTCTTGCCTTTGGAACATCCCATGAAGATTCAAAACCTTGGATACGGACATTTGACTTTTCCAACTCTGGGTAATAGACTTTGCCTTCCATAAAGACCCACATACTGGGAGATGCCCTCCAGATCAGAAGGCTTTGGATGCTAGTAGTTCATAATTTTTTTTTTTTTTTGGCACACCATGAGGCATGCAGGATCTTAGTCCCTTGACTAGGGATTGAACATGTGCCCCTGCAGTACAACCCAGGAGACTGCCAGGGAAGTCCCTAGATGCTAGTAGTTTTAAAAATATATACACACACACATCCTACACCTCAGAGATACTGCGTGTTTGATTTCAGACTACAACAATAAAATGAGTATCACCAAAAAGCAAGTCACATGCACTTTTTAGTTTCCTAGAGCATACAGAACTTGTGTTTACACTATGCTATAGTCTGTTAGGTGTGTACTAACATTATGTCTAAGAAACTATATACACCCTTATTCAAAAGTTGGAAAAATGGTGCCAGTATATCTGCTTAACTACAAATTTTCAATTTGTGAAAAAACTCATTGTCTGCAAAGAGCATTTAAAAAAAAAACAATAAAAGGAGATATGCCTGTATAATATATATATGAAACTATATAGTGATCTATATTATAGTTATTTCTTGGGCTGCACAACATCTGCATCCACTCCTTTACCTAGGTTTTGGCTTTTAAAAAAATCTTTCCAGAACAAGTGTAAGATAGAACACCCTTGATGAAGTATTCTTCAGAGAAGATCAGGAGACCACTTGAGGCCAGAATAAAACTCCTCACCAGTTCTTTCCAGGTTGGGACACACAGTTTTGAGAGGCACAATCCCACTGTGTCCCCCTTTGCTTCACAAAGCAACAAAGCTATTTTTTTCTGCTTCACCCCAAAACAAAACAAATTCTTCCAATAAGAATTCTATACCATATACTTGCCAAATCCAAATTTCTTCAT